ATAATACGAAATATTCTCACCCCAAAACTTCTTTAAAGTTAAATACGGCTGTTAACCAAGTTTAAAATAGCCTATTGTGTTTCCTAATAGGCCTACTTCTCTAGAGAGGTTTTCAAATTAGCCTTGATTTCCTAGATGTATGGGCCTACTTTCCATCTCAAAATATCTGGAAGTAACAACTTTATCAACTGTTTTTTTTATATATAAACTTCCATTTTGAATGTAAAATTCGAGCAGAAGTTAGTAAATATTACATTAAGTTACTGTCGAAGCACGTATCTTGATCTTTCATTAATGGCTCGATATGTGACGCGTGAAATTAGTGGTTATACCCCAACGTAATATACGTGACACGTAACTGAACGTGAAGAGTTTATGATGAAATAGTGTTATTTAAAAAATAAAAAAAAATTTCGCAAATTTCAATTATACCAATAACAGAAATTAAACGCATTGGAAACTTAATTCAGAAAGAAAAAACACACACAAAAAAAAAGAAAATAGGAAGGAAAATAGGTAAGAAGAAAATAGAAAATTCGCATAAAGTTTTTCAAATACATGCATAAAATATGTTCTAATAAATTAATTACTTAGTGTGCATGAATTATTAAATTTATCATTATCAATGTACACAGGGTGTCAGTTTGTGTTTAACAATAAGTTTCTCTCTCAACTTGGTTGTAAAATGCCTATAGGCTAAAATTACAGTTATTAACTTGTCTTATCAACACACTTTAATAAATTATGCTTGCTATTAATTAAAACAAAATTATGCCTACAGACAATGTCTGTTTTAAATAATATTATGTCCAGAAGACAATTCTCAAGTTCTATGTACCATACATTGTCACTTTGGTTAAAGGCATGTATAGTGAGTGTCCTTCAATAAAACAATACTTTCTGTCTTACGGCTCGAGTCTTTGTGTGTGTGTTTTTTAATTTTAATACATTTATGTATGACTACATTACATATACTCGTATAGATTAAGTAAGCCAATTAGTCATTTTAGAGTTGCAATAATATTTAGAGGGCTCACGCGTGTGATATCCTCGGATGACATTAAAGAACCATTGTTTAGGTTAATAAATTCATTTCCGAATCATATCGGAAAGGTTTTGAAGTTATCAAATTTAGTAATGTTTTTTGTTTTTTTTTTTTGATTTACAGATGTAAGCCTAAGTACAATATAGTAAGAAGGTCCGATAGTACGATACGGTACGATATCAACTTGCCGACTCGTCACTGACCGCAGTAAAGCCTAAGCGAAGTACCAGACATGGAAAAAATCAAATAAAAAAAAAAGCCTAGCAGCTGATGAGACTATGGCGTGACTGGATCTCTGTTGGTAATGTCGTAACGAAATCTGTATCCCTATTTCTACCCACCCCGATCTGTACTGCAGCTACCTTTGCGTGACGAAGCTGTATGCAATGAAAGACGTTTGAATTCTGAGTGTTTTACAATTGCTCTCGTATAGAGACTACAAATTGGGATTTTCCGAGTTGAAAAGAAATACTTAATGCACACATAGATACATGGCAAGAGACTTGAACTAATACGTAAATAAGTTTGAAAAAAAAATTTCTCAAACGGCGTGCCTATTAAATTAGACTAAACCCAGAAAATATTTAATATTACTTACGAAGAAAAGTAGAATTTGCATGATATATATTTGTAACAACAACAACAACAACTGTTGCGTAATTTCTAAATAGATATTAAGCGTTATAAATCCCTATAGGCAAGCATAATTTGATTTATTAAATTATTATCTATCATTAAACTCGATTCAGTTCGTTTCCGCTTCGGCTACAACAACACCTATAGGCAATACCTATCGGAACTTACTGACGTCATATTTCGTGCAATTCCTCTGCCACCTGCTGCTATTTTCACCATCTGCTGGCATTTAATCCACAAGTCACAATATTTATCAAATCATTTATCCACATAAACACATTGAAAAATTATGCATCATCTTAATCATCACACAATTACCATATTCATAAACTTACTCCTTTCAGTTGGAAAATGGATTTAAAACGTGTAATCGAAACCAAGGCCGACTAAAATCGTGTAGACCAAATCATAGAACATGTAAGTTAAAACTGTAACGCATAAATATATATTATATTATGCAATATTCAGTCGAGTAGAACCCCTAGCTTTATTCTTTTTTAATATATATAGGCCTATATATATATATATATTTTTTTTATTCTAAGAAAAGGGAAGTAATCTTTCAAAATAACTTTTTTTAAGTTGCTTAAGTTGTAAATAACTAATATATTGTGTGTTTTGATACACGCTTGTCTTAAAAATTGATCCATAAACTATAAAATATCTTAACCATACAAAAAGCTTAGATTTTTTGGTATGACTTTAGACTTTTCTTATGCATTTTATAAAGTGTTCTTGAAGTAGGGAAACGAAAAAATGATGGTAATTTCTATCAATTTGAAAGGCTCTATATAAGTCGACGATATGTGGTATCCGGTAACATCAACATTAAATCCTAATCTAAACAATACTATAGTATAGGGTCTGGGAAAGTGAAGTGTGGCCCCCGACACAATGGGGGTCCGGAAGTCGGCCAGTGTTCTCTGATGCGTAACATGATAAATAAGTCCTGCACGTCATTACATGAGGCATAGAGCAAGACGGTCCCTGACGAACAATGGCGTCCTGCAAGCCGTTTCGGTCCTGTGCACAAGCATGCGTGCCGTGTCTCCCTTCGCGTGCCGTGGCCAAAGGTGGCCTTGAGTCTTCATCGAAGGAATAAAAAAAAAAAAAAAAATCCATATAACGATAGATTTAACAGTTTCTCCCAATCAAAATTTCGTCGAAACACGTGACTGCTCGTCATTACAATTCAAAATTAATGCTGCTGCCTTCCCCTTAGTAAAAACTTGCGTAGGGCGGACAAGAGTATATATATATATATATTAAGCCCTTAATAACACACTCCCTTATAAAAGTGCCGAAAAAAAAAGAAAAGAAACCGCGGATTAACCGGGTTCGATCGGTCAAAGAAAACAATTAATCTCTTAATATAATTATGTATTAAAATACTAAATAATGTTTTAAAATTCCAAATAATTTATTTATTCATCGAATTAAATTGTAATCATGCAAATAAATAAATGCTTTATTAACCTAATGAAATATTAAAAAATAATAATAATTTTATTGTTAGTTAATGCTAATAAAAATTATTAGATAAAACTATTGATAATAATCTCTAAATGAAACGACTTAATGCTTTTTGTAACGATATTATTTTGAATTATCAATGTCATGTTCAATTTTTTTTATTGTTTTTTTTTTAATATACATATACTTATTTATTTTTTTTCTTTTACAATTATTATAAATGATTAATATTAGGTGATTAATCATACTTAAAATATATCAGATTTTTAAAATTTATTGTTATAAAGATGTTATGATTCCTAAATTTATTATTAATTATCCATAAAATAATGATGTCACTCTCTAATTATCATTTTATTTTGTTACTATAACAGTCTCTACTACTTTTTATATAGAAGGGAGGGAGGGAAGAAGAAAAGATAGGCCTGTTTTGTCTAATTTTAAAAGGCAAAGGATTTTTTTATTATCTGATACGAGATTTATGGATATTTTATGAAAAATATTTCCATAATTTATTATAACTTAATAATTAATTAATTCTCCGTAGATTTTAATGTTGGTTTTAAACTAAATTAAGGTCTATCCATTATACTTTTGAGATAGAATAGTAGTGTTATTTTTTTTTTTTTCTTTTTTAATAAATTATTTGGTAGATATTCTTAATTATCTTTTTTAAATTTTTATCCTGTAAATAAAAATAGATCCATATAAAAATAGTAAGTTAATAATACAAGTTTACTTATCTAAATAGGTATATTAAATGAATTTTAACCGTGCAAAATTAGTGGTGTTATTACCTAAATATTTAATAAAATTTTAAAAGTTATAGGCTATTTATTTCCTTTTTTTTATTACAATTAAAGATTGTGTAAATGATTAAAATGCCTTATTTTTTATATTAATTAAGTCTAACTTTAAGATATTTCCAATTTAGAAAGTATTTAAGTACTTTTAATATTTAATTTTAATGAAGTTTGGATCCATTCAGTAAATAAATTTAATTTCTATATATATATATATATATGTTTACAAAGAGTAGATACATTTAACGATTTAATCAATGAAATATTTTATTAAATCTTGATTAAAAGATTTAATGAAAGGTTAAGGTAAAGTTTTCAAATTAATTCTCTGTTAGGCCTTTAGACAATAGCGTATCTTAATGTAGACATTTGCATCATTAGAACAAAATTTATCTCTTGCTTATTTATTTTTTTTTCCCCTTTTACAATATGCAAATTAAAACTATTTAAGCTTAGGCCTAAAGCTATATATGAAATAATGTCTAAGAATTTTTTCATGAGTGTAATAATTAAATTTTAAAGAAGTTTTATTAACCATTTAGACCTAAATTTCGGCCTATACAGTTTAAAATTTATATATTTTATTCTTTAATCTTCTTTAAGCATTCAAACATTTCTAAAAAAAAACTAAGAATAAAGTTCAGTTATCAAGAGAAAAAGAAAAAAAAAACCACGAAAAAAGGCAACTTTGAATTATCCAGATTTACCGGTTTAAGTAAAAAAAAGGAAAGAGAAGAAGGAGAAAAAAGAAGATAAAACCGCTATCGCAACTTTATATTAAATTATAATTAGATCGATTTAAGCTTTAATCTAATTTTGAATTAAGATAATCACGAATTAAACTAAAAATGATTGTTTAATAGGTATAAATAAGGAATCAGTAGGCACGTTTTCGAATAATTTTCATTCACGAAACGAGTACATTCGGTCACTTGTTTAAACTATACAAGATTATCGAAGTTAAGTCATTTAGCCCATTAACAGTTCGGTGTGTGATGTACCTTATCAAAGAGAAGGTTTCATTTGTTATAGGGCCTACTTACGGCATTTGAACGGGCCATTAGCTAGAGGCTGAGTGCCTCTTATCCTGGGCGGTTCTGTAACTTGAACTGGCGAGGGGCGTGAGTTGCGCATCTGCCGCCACTTTCCTTAGTTCAAATTTAGTACTTTCTAAAATTACTCCATCTGTAAAAAAAAAAAAGGGGGAAAAAATCCTCTAAATTGTAGAAATGTTATCTCCACATTTAACTATAAAATATACGAGAAATCCGTCAATTCAATGGCGTGGATCGGGTAAAGAAATTTCAACCATTTTTTTCGTATTAATAAAAATGTCTTATGTCGTTAAATCTAAATGCAATTATTAATTAATATAATAAGTAATTTGGTTATTTAATTTATTTTCCGTTGTTTTAATTCAGTCGGTTGATTTTCAAGGTTGACAAAGTTGATCAATGACCAGACTCGACTAAGTGGTCAGTAAAAGTCGTGACATTTGTCACTTTCTGCTTTCGTGAAGAACATTGCGTGTTTCTGTCTTCATCCGTGCGTGAGAAAAGTTGCAAATATATATCAAAAATACTTTTTAAATATCTCATTCTAATTTAAATTTATACCGTGGATAATTTAATATAACTTTATTCCAGTAATAGTGTAATATACTTATATAGGCTTATAGGCTATATACATATTAAAACTTACTGTATTTAATTTTAGACAATTAAAAAAAAATTATAATAATTTTTATTAATATTTAAAATTCTAAAATAATATTAATTTCTATAAATAATTAAATTATTTTAGAACTAATTTATTTAACAGAATCGCTACTTTTACAAGTCGCCACGACGTCACTTCAATCGACACTTCAAGTTCAAACAACGCCCTCTAGCGACGAAATCGAGAAGCACGATTAATTACAAAATTTTCTATTATTTAAGTGTTTTAATTAATGTTTTTATTTATTTTTAATGTAAATTAATATTTAATTTTAAATAAATTTAAATTTNACGTGTTGTTCGTATCAATGTCGATTTTAGTATAAATTTAATCACTTTTAACTGAAACAATGTTAAATTTAAACACAATTTTTGTACACAAAGATACGAATCATCATCATCCACCTTCTATTAAGATTTGTATGATGGAAGCCTTTAAAAGAGGTTAAACAATTATAAAATTTAAGAAGAATAAACATAGAATTTTAATATAAAATTTAACAGATGTTTCATATATATATATAATAATAAAATTTAACACATCACTAAGATTTTTTCCCTCTTAAAGTTTCGAGTATAAGATCGTTAAATCGTTGACTCTTTTAGTTGTGTAGGTACCACTCATGCAAGGGTGAGAAACAGCAGATTGGTATCTCTATACCTAACCATAAAAATACTATAGAGTGGGTGGTTTTATTATGTCGTAAGACTATCCCAAATTCGCTTTATGACACTGACAGACATCTCTCAATAAGAGATGGCTCATTTTTCTACACCTATCGAAGAAATGATGATGGCTCTCTCGACTATTAATTCTTTCTTTTTTAAAAGAAAAAATATATATATATATAAATTATATCGATTTTAATTAATCGAATTATCTTTAGAATCGATTCGAAATAAAATTATTTATAAAAGAATGAAAAAATTCCATAGTGTAACGTCGAAATCAATTGATATCTAACAACTTTTCTATGCAAACATTTTGATTCATAACTATACGATAATATCAAACCTGTCTTCCTTCTTACAATATGTATCGAGTTGTAACGCACACACAAAAGTTGTAAAACAGTCTGTAGGATGTCATAACTGTTGCCCTTTCAAGTCATAAAGTCCGTAGGAAAGTTGAAAGGAGATAAAGATCTCTCTCTCTCTCTCTCTTTGCACCCCAAGGACTCACAAAAAAATCACGCACTTAAAGAATTCCTGTTCTAAATCTAAAATTTTTATTTACAGTCAGTAAAATGAGGTTCGTAAATCATTTATGGCGAAAAGTTTTTCTTCTTCTTATTTTTTTTTTTCTAAGCGAGAGGCCTAAGGTGATAGTTTGATGAGGCCTACAGGCCATAAAAATAATACGAAATACCACAGGTTCTACTATTCTAAAGTAAGTGTTTTTTTCTTGTTTTTTTTTTTCTTTTTTGACACGGAAAATTTGAACTTTGTTTTAGTAAAAGAAATTTTAGAAAAGAATGGATCGATTTTTTAAAATATTTTCCGATAATATATATATATAGACTAATCCTACATAAATGGCTCGATAAATTTATAATATTGACAATGACTAAGAGCAAAGGGCAATATTATTATTAGAAAATTTTCAATGGGTTTAATAAAATGGGTCAACTAAATTTAGAATATCTTCTCATATCTTCATCAATTACTTTACTCTTTCCGTAGATGATTCTTTGTATTTTCTACCACGTATTAAACTCTATAAATCCTTAAGAAAATGTTAATATCTATGAGAAAATTCTCTACAGGAAACTTAATTTAATCGTGATTAATCTATAAATTATTTAGCGTATAATAACGTTTAATTAACAAATGGTATTAAATAAGATGTGTTAAATTACTAAACAACACTATGGATTATTAAAAAATGAACTGTATTTCTATTTTTAACTGACCTAAAGGTGTTTTTCCTTTTCGTGGAAATATCACGTGATTAAAATTTCCATTCATGGACATCCTCAATATGGCAGATACGTTGAACTACATGATCATCCATCCATGATCTTACAACAGGAAATGTTTTCTGTCGAGAAAGAAGATAAAAATCAAAAAAATTACACTTTTCATTCAAAAGTAAACTTATAAATTTTAACGATAAATACAATTCTAACGTTTATTCTACTTTAATTTTATAATAAAAGAAAGATCTTTTTACCTAAAAAAAACGATTTAATATCAATTTTTTAAGCTTAAGTTTAATAAAATTTACATTGATAAATACAGGAAATGTAAACATTGTTCGCTGTTGAACAGATAAAGATCTTCCCCCCTTTATTTATCCATTTATAGATTAAAAACGAAGAGATAAAAGCTTTATATCCAATTTACTATTTTCATAACAGGGTTTACTTAACATTTTCATTAAATTTATATCAGAAATTAGATTAAAAATCGTGATATGTGAAAAAAAATCATTATTTATCCACAATATTTTATATAAATAAGGCGATGAATCCTATGTTAAGGCTCGAATTAAGTATACGTAGATAACAAGTTAATTTTACGTAAATAACAGGTTTCGATCAATATTGTCGGAAATAAATAGAAAAGACTTTCAGTTACGTAAAACTATCAATAGTCTGTGATGTGCAGTAAACAGCTGTAATTGCTTGTTAACATCGGATAGTTGCGCCTCTTCTTCCATTCGCTAGTTCTTCCAGTTACGCCTACTTGGGTGAATGCGAGAGGCTGACACATCCTTCTAACCAATAGTAACATAAGGAAAGTTGGGTTACCACCCTCTGCGGAGGTTCTCTTAGGGTTTCTTTCAGAATAACGCAAGATTGGTCGCTAAATTCTAACAAATATAATCTTTCTTTTTTAAATTTAAAGACTTACAACAGTGTTTTTTTTAAACGTTAAAAATGCGTTAAATAAAATCTTAGGCCTATAACCAAACGTAGTGATAGTGATAGTGAAAAAATAAAAAAAAAAAACAATTTATAGAGAAGGGGGAAAAAATAGGAGCTTATTTAATATGCATCTGAGATTCTTTCAAAGGCTTGAAGGAAAAGAACAAAGGGTCGATGGAGAGGATTATAGAGGGAAGTGGGTGAGGTCGAGAGAAATGACGAAAGCGTTACTGACGCCCAAAATGGAGACAATTCCATGATTTATTGATGGAGATTATAGAGGAGGTTGTCGATCTGTATGGGATTAGAAGAGAACGTTTACAAATTCCAAACAGCCATATTTGAAATTCTGTTTTTCTTTCAACACGCAATAGTCCAATGAATTTTTTTTTATTATTATTGTTTTTATATATATATTTAGTAACAAAGATTTGAGTCTAAAAACATTAGAAGTACTGAATTTTTTTAAAAAAATACCATCCTTAAATCTAAAAATAGACTTTTTATTTTCTAAATATAAAAACATTGAAAGGCTAATTATAGGCCTAATATTAGCCTTATAAATCTATAAATATAGATATTTAGACTAATATTAGGCCTAGGCCTGTATAGGCCTATATATTAGAAAGATTCAGTTTAAAGTTACACTGTTTTAATTTAAATTTACAAATATACAAGGGAGTTGATTATCTCTTCTTCTTCCAAACTTCATAATTTACCTTATTACATTTAGGCCTAATTTAGAAATATAATAATATTATTTAAAACAAAACATTAGATTAAAAGAAACAATTAATTAACATTAAAAAATGAATAGAATTATGTATTAGAAAGTGATTTTCTGAATGAAATTATAAGACGGACAAAAACGATTTAAAAAGTGATCAAAAGGGTTGAATTTGTTTGTTACGATGAATCTATCAGCGCTACTTCACGTGACAATCAGCTGTTTCCCGAATTTCTATTAGGCATGTCGTGCACCCACCAATTATGAGGGCGCTGTCATTGGAGAAGGCTTTTGATGAATGAAAGCTGTCTTTGCATCCCATGTAAATGAACATTATCCGTGTCAATTATGCTTTAATGTCTCGTTACAAACAAACAAACTCCTTTGGTGCTATTTACGGATAATTTTGACACGGGTCAACCATAAGCCGGCTATTAAAGTTATTTCTTTAGTCTCTTTGCCTTGCCTACCTTATCCATCTCTCTACGTGGTTATCTTTTTAAGTAAGTCTTCTTATTTAACTTTACAAAAATGCTTAAAAATATTCAATCTTTAACCACTACGAAGACGAAATTTTAAGTTTTTAAAAGGTAAAATATCATTTAGTTTATGTAAATTCTCTTCTTATATACTTTATTTATATAAAAATATAAATTAAAGAAGTATTTTTTTTTTAAAGGTACACGACTAGATTTCTTTGAACATTGATAAATGATATAGCAGCTATCTGAAAGTGAATAAATTTCTCTTGAGGTTAAATAAATGTCCTTGGTGGGTTAATTAATAATAGGCTTATTCTTCGGCATACTCATAAATATAGCCTATAAAAGATAAACTATATTTTTGCTTTAACGATTTATATACCGCACGTTTATGAGACTGACAAAAAGATTATTTTCGTTAGATACAAAAGGCTATGAGAGAGACATCTTACTTTTCTCCAAAAGAATGGAACAACGATTAAACTTCGCTTAAGTTTAATACATTTTAAAGGTAATAGAAACATTTTCTTAAAGATTTTCATCTACGAAATTCGAAAATAGACGAAAACATTAAAGAATTTCGGAGGGGTCGAAGCACGAAGAAGAACGTGCCTCGATCACGTGAAGCTCACAATCACGTGATCTAAGAGGTAAGTCCGATGAGAGAAAAGATAAGACGCCACCTCCATAGTTACGAAGATTAGGCCTACCTCTGACATTCTTCTTTTCGTTTTATGATTAATGAAGCATCCGTGATGCGAATAATATCACGTATAGACGCCACGTAAATTGTCAGGGGAGGAACCTCTCTACTGGATCAAATAACATTCCACTTTTACCCTTTACAGACCATGAAAGTAAACCCCTATACGTCTCGAAAGTATGCTAGTAAAAACGTGCTTTAACTAAACTTTTTATAAACCTATTCCACAATTTCATCCCCCCCCTTTTTTTTCAAACAAAATGCTTAAAATCTTACAAAAATATCAATCATATACGAAGGCCTTTAAACTTATTAATCTATTTTTAACAATAAAAATTTGATAAAAAAAGAAATTTTTAATAAAGAAAAAGTAATATTTTTATTATCTAATTATATAATTTACAATTGAATTCAATTAATTTATTAATTCCTTTAAGGGGTTATAACACCCCTCCCTCTAGAATAAGGAGAAATATTAATTAGAAATTTATACAATTTACAAATAAATATTTGAAGAATTAAAATAATAATAATATAATTATAAATCATACTACCCAATTGTTGTTAATATATAAAGAAGGATATTTTTTTCTCTTCAATTAAAATTACATAGGCCTATAAATGTAATTTTTTTGTCTATAAGAAGATTAACTTTATCACTAAATCTTTATATTGAGACGTAGACTTATTAAACTTTTTTTTAAACCTAAAGATTTATATATATAAATAATAATAATATATTCATTAATCATTAATTACGTTTCGGTATAAGATAGTGTTGTACTGTACAAATTTAATCGGAAATATCGAATTTCTAATGGAATTAAGATGTCAATTCGAACGTTAACTAATTCTGTACCGCTTAATTAACCTTGAAAAACATTTCTATTCTTCTAATACAATGGGATAAGTGCTTAAATATTGATAAAAATATAAGTATAAAGTTTAGAGTTTAGTATAATGTAGGCCTACACAAAATCAATATAACTTAACAAAGCTCGAGTTATCAACTGATTAAAAGTCACACGTATAAACAATAGTGTATATTTTTTTTTAATTAAATATAATTTTCGTCACTTTAATTATATAATATTTTATTTATTTTTCTATAAAATTTACTATAATAAAGCTATACTAAAGCTAAACAGGAGCTGAAGAGTAACGTAGGCCTAATTATATAAATGTTACCTTCTTAAAGTCTGTATAATAATAATTATTATAATTAAATACTAATGACGAATTAATTTATTTAAATATGAATTAATACCTTAATATTGTTTTCGTTTATTTCGATAAAGTGTAAAGATTTTATTGAAATTTTGAAGATAGAAAGTAAAAGGAGAAAAAAAGGTAGTAAACACAGGCTTACTTACAGTAATGTGTGCCTCGTAGCCCGGGAAAAATACGACGAAAATGCCACTTAAAACTTAATGATGCGTCAAAATCTGTACTGTATCACTGTTACTTCTAACCGGCAACCATTATTACACCTAAATAAATACGGGTCTATTGTCATGCCTTTATTACACTAATAAAACGTTAAATTGACGAAAAAACTACACTTGACAGTCTTGTCTTCCATCAAGCGAAGAAATTCGTGTACTTAATAGGCTTGACGACACTACTTAAACTTTTTCCTCAGTCTAACCAATGAATTTTCAACATAACATTTTACTTTCCTTATAATTAATTATAATATTTACTTAGCTTTTTAGACCTAATTTCTATATGTAGGCTGTTAGACTTTAATAAAGGAAAAAGGGGAGGGGGGAAATTGCAATGGGTATCGTTTTATCGTTCGATATTAATTTCTGTCAAGTATTTAAGTATCGAATCCCTATTATATACGTATCCTATCTTCACTCTCAGCGTGATAACTTAAGGGAATAGTTAAAAATTAGTATCTGAATATAAAACCCTATTGGATATAGGCCTATAGGGATGATGGTCACGCCTCCGAAACTAAATTCATCACATGAGATTTCCCTGGAGAAGCTCTTAAACGGATACGTTCCTACCTTACAAATTAATTTAACCCGTTAGGCATGCGCTATAATATCCGGGAACATAATAACAGTGTTGATCTTTGTAGTGAGAAATTTCAGAGTGAGGCATTCCTTGAAACAACTTTATCCCTGGAGCTAACCTTCCAAATTTATTAATGGAGAGGCGCACCTAAAAGCCATTAAGACATTTCTCATTTTAAGGATAAATAATTACTTTCAGCTATGTTTTTACTGTAAAAAAAAATCTTCATCA